AATACTACAAAATTCATCTTCTAAGACAAATCGAGAGTTCTCATTCACCCCACCACCACAACACCCCCTCCCCAACAAAAAAAGAAGAAGTTCCCTGAAACTAGAAATACTCCAAATCTCACAGTTATCTCTACACAGAGATACAAGTCTCTAACCATAAAGACTCCTAATGCACACACGAACCTAATTACTGTTCTACACGTTCCAACTTCTTAAAACAAATGGAAAGCTATTTTCCTTGCATCAAAATCTTCAAAATTCAAAAGGATACAAGCTAGAAACTAAAGATAACATTCATCTATATAAAAACAGAATTTCACATTCCTTTTCTACAGTCAGATAGCACGGCATACCATCATTCTGGGAAGTCAGATTTCTCTTAATTTGGTGTAAAAATTGTATATTTATGACAAGAAACAAAACTAAACTGCATTTTGCTCCCTGCAACCCCAAAAAGAATCCAGGGCAACAACTATCCCTCCATAAATTGAACCACAAATTATATACTAGTATAGCCTTCTATCACGATGAACAATGTAGATAAGAGAGTTACCATGCGGGGGTCTAACAAGCCATTTTGAATAGGCTTTTTAGTAGATTCATAGTAAAGCCCAAGGTAGACTTCAACTTCAGCTGATTTCAAAATTTCAGACTCTGAGAAGAGAGAAAATTTAATGCTTTTTCTGTCCAACAACAATAAAAACAAAATAGATACAATCAAAATCCAATCATGAAAACATTAACCCCAAACAACATTCAAAAAAAACAGAAAACATAATCAAAAAAAAAAAATGATCACACAACTACTAACATCTTTCTAGGGCCAACATCTTCAATGTAGGGCTGTTTGGTGACTTGCAACGAATTTTGTATTCCCTTCATCTTCCTGGGCACCACCCAGAAAACTCAAAAAGGACAGTTTTTTTCTGGGGTTTAAGCAGATGCTTACTGGGGTTTATGGGGCGCCAGTGACAACGATGGACTGTTTATATATGAAGTATAGAGAAACCCTAAGTGGCCTTAATTAAAAACGAAGGCGGCGAGAGCAAAGTTCGTTCTAGGTTAGTTGGTAAATATTGTTTAGTTTTTTCGCCACCTTTCAAAGGGTTGTGGGTTCGATTCTCACCACTCTCAAATTTTTAGTTGTTTTTCCTTTTAAAAAAAAAAAAAAAACTCACAGATAAATTAATAAAACAATTCTTCTTATTTATAATTTTTTAATAGGTGTGTAAGCACAAATGAACAACTAATACTATAAAATTAAGGAAATACTATGTTTGTGAGCATTGTGTTATTCCGTCACTATATGTAACTGATTTTTTTTTGGCAATAAGATATGAATATTATCATACAACTTAATCAACTCAGCAGTCTAGTGATCTTTACAATCTAAGAGCATCTGGTGATCTAAATCCCCTTCTAGAAAGATTATTCAGCTTTGAACTAGACCTCCAACGCACTTGCTAAGAAAAAAGAAAAAGAAAGCAAACAAAACCTATATTAATTACAAATTATCTATATCAAAACTTGGCATCTTCTTTCTTTTCGAGATCCTGTGAACATGCTCGCCCTTTCTCTGCTGATTTTATTTTTTGTATTGTGTCGTTATAAACCTTGTGTCTATATTCAAACCCTTGTACACTCTCTAGTTCCTTGTTATCATGCATAATAGATCAAGGCACATAATCACCCTTTGTCTAGGTAGCATAGTAGAAATCCAAATTAGATCTGCTTCCCTCAGTCTAGTCAGTGGTCCCAACATATCAATACTTTATACTAGTTTATATTTGATGATAAAGTGAAAGAATTGAATGGATTTATAGGCTTTCAATTCCTTTGATATAGATAATTTTTAGAAGAACTTTCACAACTATAATAAACTTAATTATGTTTCATAGCTATAGTTTGCATATGGGTTGTAGCTATAGTTTAAGGAGCCTCGTTTATATAATTCGCGAATTTGTATAATTCGTAGGTTCGTATAATTCGCAGGTACATTTGTATAATTCAGTTATTTTTGTATAAACTAAAAATAACAAATTTATACAATTACAAACATCAAAAGTGTAAACAAGTATACAAATTATATTATACAAATTCCAAATTATACAAAAGTTATACAAATTATATTATACAAATTCCAAATTATACAAACATGCGAATTATACAAAACTAGAAAGTTGAGCCGCGTAATTATAGCTAAAAGTAGATCGTAAATTATAATTAAGGCAAACTATAGTTATGTTAAGTAATTAACTAGTATATGTTTGCTTGCGTAATCTTTCCAATTTTTTATTCCAGTGTTTAGAATATTTGAATGAAGCATATTAATATTTAATTATCTAAAATGTATATCTTGAACCTCTTTATTTGTGAATGACCACAAATTTTCTAAAGTAACATTCCACCGTTTAATTATATATAATTTGTGTCAAGTTTTTTTTATTTTTTGCTTAAAATCTGAGGATAGTATACTTTTGTTTGATAAAAGAAATGAAACAATTATGCTTTGATAGTGATTGTAGAAATAGTTAATAGTGATGGTGGTAAAATATTAGTTGTTATTAGTGGTTAGTTATGATATAGTGGTGCTAGTTGTAACGGTGAAGGTGATTGGTTGGGGTTGTGATGATTGTCATAATAGAAGTGAATGATTGTGGTGTTGGTGGTTGTACCAGTGAAGTTAATTGATGTTAGTATGTAATTGGTGGTGACTGAAGAATGTGTGGTGGTTGATGATGTGTTTGTAATAGTTGGTGACGGTGTTAGTTTTGATGATAGAGGCGGTTGATAGTAAAGATTGATCGCATTGATGGTAGTGGCTAATAGTAATGATGTAGGTGGCAACAATGATGTTTGTAATCGAAGAATGTATGATAGTAATTGGTGGCGGTGCTAGTTGTAACGATAGAGTTTGTTGGTAATAAAAAAAAAAGTCTATAGTGATGATAATGGTTGTAGAGGTGGTTGTGGCTACAAAGACTATAAGAATGGTGCTAATGAATATAATTATAATGATTGAGGAAGTAAGTGTAGTAACACTTGAAAGTAATGGTTAACAATTATGATATCAGATATAGTTGATGATAAACGAGGATAATGGTGGTTGACAATAATAATGGTCATGATGGCAGATGTGGTTAGTGGTGGTGTCGGATGATTATGAATAGAGTGATAATAAATTATCCATACATAATACTATTTAATAATATTAATTAAAATTATGTTATAGATTTCTACTATATAGAAGCATGATAAATTAAGACGACCAAGGCTATATTTGTAATTTTACACAATATCCAATTTCTATTAGAGATTTCCCAACACAGAGACAACAACATATGTCTAGAAACATCCATACGTCTCCTTCACTATTTTTTAGGCTTTCAAGAATGGTCTGTTTCTTCATCATCTCAAGAACTTTTTGTAAGCTGAAGCAATAGAGATTTGAAAGGCATTGAATCGGTCTTTATGAATTAATTGATCAATGATTAGTATTTTATCAAATGCAAATTTTATGGTGCAAATATTGCAAAAAGAAGATAACAATATTGTGGAAAATAGATATCACTTGTGAAAATATATGAAGATCGATGAACTTTTTCAAAGATATAAGCATTTTATATATTCCTTGAACACGAAATGTTTTAACTCATAATCTAACACAATTCTTTATTTCCTTGTTGCATAGTATTTTTTGGAATTCAACTTTCTCAATTTGAGTTGCAAACGACACATTTATGTCGTATGAACATTTGAAACAAATTATTAAGTAATGTCTTGAAATTGTTTATTGGAAAAAATAGTTTAAAGTACAAAAATTCCATACATTGCCGGCTAATTACATCCTATCCCGGAAGTTTCCTCAATTACAAAATTCTCAAATTTTTCATTGCTTTCGAATACATTTCTTGGTTGTCTGATACATTGCAAATGATACATTATTTCTTGCGGAAATGAATTCGAGAGGGGATAAGTATTTCTCCGATAAGGGATGGCTGTAGGAATGAGAAAATGATCAAAATGGTCCCTAATATATGAGGGTTACTTTATTTTGATCTTTAATATATTTCACATATGGTCCTGAATGTATATTATAAAAGGTACTTAATTTGATCCTTTGCCCTAAAAGTAACAAATCCATAAGTTAAATTTAACGTTAGGGACCATGAAAAAATAAAAATACCAAAAGCTCCCTTTCTCCTTCATTATCTATGTCTTCCCATCAGAAGATCTGTTTCAGAGAGTTTGTGTGTTGTTTTTTTTTTTACCTTAGCCATCAAAAGGAACATAAGATTTGTTAAAAAAAATTGTGACGTATTGGCTCTCAATAGAGACATTAACAATTCTAAATATAGGATCAAATCTTATAATATCAATAACAACGTAAAAAAATAAACTAATTTTCTAATTTAATACTAAAAAATATAATTTTTTTAGAAATCCTAATTTTGGATTAGAGCTAATAAACAATGGGAACAGAGGATGGGTGGAGGAGGGACTGAAGTGGAGAGTAACGACTGGCTGGTGGACGAGCGGCGGTGTGTCAATGACCTAGAACATTATAATCGCTGGAGAAGAGAGAAGGGAGAAGAATTAGGCCAAGCTTTTCAGCTATGCCTGATGAAGGAGATGGGAGCTTTTGGTATTTTATTTTTTAGTGGGCTTGCCGTTAAATTTAACTTATGGATTTGTTACTTTTAGGACAAAAGACCAAATTGAGTACCTTTTATAATACATTAAGGACAATATGAATCATGTGGAATATATTAAGGATCAATGTAAAGCAACCCTCATACATTTTGATTGTTTTCTCCGGCAGGAATAGAAATGTATTCGAAAGGAGATTTTTGTAATTTTCTTAAATGTTAACTTTTTTTTAGAGATTATGATATACTTATTAAATTATATTGGGCCCATACGACGGGCCTTAAATTATTTATTAGTATTAATGAAACCCTGATTTTGAAATAGGTAGAAAGTCAAGTGGAACTCAAAAGTTAAAATCATAAAACCCTAACAAAAATCCTAGCTCAACAGAAGCATAGCAAAATGAAGAGGGTATCAGCTAAAGTTGAATCTACAATCCCAATCTCTCTCTCCGCCGCAGCAAAATCCCTCTCCAAATTTGCTGCATCAGACCACGAAGCATCACATGCTGTTTCCTTATATCTCCAAGGTGCTGCTGATTCATTCAACAAGCTTGTTAAGATTCAGCAGAAACTCAGTGTGAAAAAGGAGCCTCATGTCAAAGTTGAAGAAATTTCAGAAAAGAATAATCGGGATGTGGGTTTAAAGGTTGAAAGTACAGTGAAGAATGAAGATATCCCAAATGGGTTCCGACAAAACAAGAAAAGCAAGAATCTTGTCAAGGAAGAAAACCCGGAAGCTGAGGCTAAGACCAAAAATTCATCAAAAATTGATAAAGTGAAGGGTCATAAGTTGATCAAGACTGAACAAAAACTCGATATAGGGGAAGAAGAGATGGAAACATCCAACCAAAATGAGCTGGAGTTTGTTAAAATAGATAGGGAGCTGAAGTTGAAGGAAGTTAAGGAAGATGGTATGACGAGTAGAGATAATAAGAAGAAGAAGAAGAAGAAAAAGAAGGATAGTGGCGCTGGTGACAGTGAACACGAGGTGGGGAAGGTGCAAGAAGATGGGAAGAGTATGGATCCTGATGCTGGTTCTGCTTCAGCAGAGCAGAGTAGCAAGAAAAAGAGTAAAAAGAGAAGAATTGAAGGTGATGAGTAATTGAATTTAGTTGAGTCTAGTTGCTGTTGTTGCTACTATTGTTGAGGATCAGAGTTAGTGTAACACCTGCGGAAATCCTCTCCCTTGCGTTTGTCATTGCTAGAGCTGTATTGATATATCGTTTCAAGTAATTTTGTCGAGATATGATTCAAATTTGATATGGTCTACATATCAGAATGAATTTAGGATTCAAACTATTTTTTTTTTAGTATAGGTAGCATTTTTCGGATTCAATCTATATTACTAGCAGAAGCATATGGTTGTATACATTGAGCAAATCAAAGCTAACATGTTTTTGTTCATTTCTGTTTCTTCACATTATTTAAATTTGTGTAACTTCTTTGCTAATTATTGGAGATTGTTGTTGGTTGGTTAAGTGGTGGTTATTCACTTGTATGACTCAATAGCACACTTTTGGATATGTTTTTCTCACTTCTTCCTAGTTCTCACATGCTGAACCCTTGAAAGTTGTAGCTAGGTTGTCCATTAGCTTCAGTCGAAGAGGAAACGGAAAAGAATGCAAGTTTTAAAGGAGTTGTTCAGTTAACTTCAGAACCAGAGCATGTTTTATCGAATCTGTTTTTCTATGTTAGCATAGTCTGACTGCCTTCTTTGAGCTAAAGGATTTGAATTGAGCAATTCAACAAGGAGCAAGAGTTCACTTGGGATGAATTATGATGGTTGAACTGCAAGCTAGTCAATGTTTCACATTCATGTAAACCCATTAACATGTTTTAACTAGAAGCTATCATAATGTACATTATTAGCTAGAGTGGGTAAGACAGTTGAGATTTCTCCATTCTTAATTAGAGGTCTTTCGTTCGATATTGCTCCATCTCCACAGGACAAAGCACCAGACTCGTAAATATGTTTTGTAAGCACTTTCCTGAAATCAAAGTTACGACTTAGACATAGTAAAGAATCAAACACGTGAGATAGAGACCTCTGTATCAACCAAAAGGTGGCACATCCAGATAATTAGTTGAGTTTGACAATAAGCAGTAATGGCAAAAATTCACTGGTTAGTGTAAGCATAGCTTGGCAATATCAAATGTACAAGCAACATAAATCATGGTAGGGTGAGGGGAGAAGGGGAGGAGGAGAGTAACCTCAACTAAAGAAGAGAGAACTTTGAACTCCAAGAAATGGCAGAAAACATATATAAATTTGTATGTTTTAGTATTCTCAATGTATGATTGTTGGCTTCTAATCTCTAGATCCGCCCATGGCCTTTTAATCTCTGAAAAGGCAAGCTTATTAGCATCTATAACTATCATTTTATTCTTGATTTTATTGCTTCTCTAATATGAGTTTCCTTTACTCCATTTGATAAATTTTAGTACTAATTTTTGTTGTTGGGAGTTTTTATAGCTTTCCTGTTTCAACTCCAACAGTTCTTTATAACTACTAAGTAGTTAGGAGGATGCAACTTCTAAATTTATACTTCTTGGGTCAAATAAAAAAAGATTAACTCAATAGTGAAGGTAACTAACTATATGAATTGAAATGGTTGCTGCTTGCGGGGAGCTTGTACGTGACACTGGGAGAGGAGTACATGGTGAGTTTATCTCCTTTACGGACATTGTGAGTTTTCTTCACTTGAAACCATGGTATCTCTTTGCTAGCCACTCTATCATAACTCCATTTATATCCATCCCAATGTCCAAACACTGTTTCTGTTCGAAAAAAAGTATGTGCAAGTATGTTGAAAATTTAAGTAAAAAAAGTGTAATTTACGTACTTGGCTCGTAAAAAAGAATCAGTATGACACGTGAAGGGTACTTACCCTATTTCTTATAGAAAAGAGAAATTTGCCATTGGAATTCATGAGATGAACTTGGTTGCTACATTTAATGTTGTAGTTGTCGATTCTATAAACAATTTGTCCTTTTTATAATGCATGAAAGCATCTTCTCCATTTGAACTCTAATATATATGTTGGAAACTTGATTTGTTTTTTCAAGTTAGCTACTGTCAGTTGTTGATTGATTTGTTGTGTGGGTATATTTGCATTGACTTAATACTTTTACAGATGTGTAGATTCCTTTTAAGATCACATCTCCTCCATTTGGACTCTAAATATGTATTCATCTAGTTATAGCATGTTAAACTTATATTTGATAGTAATATATTTTGCTTACTTGACGTTTGCAAGGTGTATGGCTTGTGTTTTAGTTTTTTTGTCTAAACATATATCTGATAGTAATCTATTTTGTCTAAACATATATCTACTATAGACCTTGGATAGTGGATAGGCATATTGTTTAGACAAAAATAGATTTGGGGAAGGTATTTACATGTAGGCCTTTCTACATTTTGTTAGATTCCCTGGCAAGTTGGGAAGTGTGCTGCTATAAGCTTTGCATCTGTGTCCTATTGTTTTAATAACCGTGGTGTTCGAGCCAGCGTGTGCACCTCAACTATTTCCATGGGTTGAGGAGGAAAAGCTGCTGGAAGAAAAGAAACGAAGAAGAAATAAAAAGAAAATGGAAAGGAATAAGAAAATAATAAAATTAATTTTTTAAAAATGAAATACACACGTGAAGCGCCTATGTTTCATCACTTTTACACAAATCTAATGGAATTGTTTGGGTTGTGCACCTCACTAATTCCATGAGTACACTTCATGTCCTATGATTATCATATTTCCTTGCATTTGTCCTATATCTGGTCTGTCATGGAATGCATTAAACAGACTATACTACTCAATACTTATGCAAAGATTAAGTTTTTAGCACCTTTAGAAATTGTAAATCTGGATTTTTGATGTTAAGACCACAGTAAGCGAACTACTTCAAACACGGAACATGGCCTACAAAGGATTATCTTAAACGGTTGCACTTGCTAAGAGGTTCTGTGACAGCTTTTCATATAGAAAATGATCTTTTATAGAGTCATCTGCAGACCAAATAAAGATACCATGAAGTGTTCCCTGACTCTTTAGTATGCTGCATGCATCAAAGAATCCATGTCTAGGAGACAAGCCACCACTGTTGTCAGTTCCAAAGCTAACTAGAATCTTGCCTCCTTTATAGTTATACATCTGAGTTTCAAAGTAGTGTAGGAACTGAGGAATGGTTGTGCCCTTTTCATAGGCATAAAATTGGAAGTTGACATAGTCTATTAGATGACCGTACTTTCTCCAGAGTGCTAAATAGTGCACCTGCACTGAATCATCTGCATATGGGGCTATTGATGTGTAAGTGACGACATTGTTCTGTTTAAGATAGTACAACAGTCTCCCAATGCACTCGGCGAATGTATCTGGATCTGCATTGAAGTGTTCATAATCTATATCTATTGCGTCCAGGTTATACTCTTTCACTATCTTGGTGATTGAATATATTGCATTTCTCACCCAAGAAGTAATTGAAGTAGGAGTGAAGGTGGCATTTTTACCATTCACTGTATCACCACCGAGACTCATTCCTACCTTAACGTTCTTATGCTTAGCCTTGATGGAAGAAATATGAGAAGGGGTGAGGTTATCAGTGTCCCAATAAACCAGGAAGTCACCATTAGTGGGTTCTGGTGATTTTGTGTTCGTGTAGTCTATAGCGAAGGATAGGAGGAAGTGAAACTCAATATTTGGATTAATTGGGACATCAGAGAATGTGACATTCTTGCCCTCAGCTCCAATGTATTCTCTGAAAACCCCAGGGCAGAATGCTGGAACTGCCTCGATCGTAGGGAAAATGTTGAAGAGAGCTTGAAGGACAAGAAGAGAGATGCAGAATTTTAAGGACTTCATGATTTGTTGTAGTTGGAAGGATCCCTTGTACTTCTTATTGGTATTTAACCAAAGTAGATGCCTATTAAAATATTTCTCCTTCAACAAGGCATTTGTTGTATGCATTGCCGACTACCCTATAAGGTTTAGATTCTATTTGTTCTTTTGTGAGTTTTGTCTCTTTTCAGGACCTGGTTTTGTAAGCATCCATACTATTAATAGATTATGTGTCAGCTGGAAGCCAATCATTGACTTTCTTGGCATTTCTAAGGACGGCTCAATTGTTTCTTCTTAGGTAAGTGATCGAATTTGGACAGTTTATATGACAACTTGTGGGGTATGAATGCTTTGAACGGCTGGTACTGCATTGTCTTTTTCTTGTTTGTAAGAATAAGCTGGAATAAGTTATTCCGCAGGATGTTTGAAAGGCTTGTACATAGACACTAAATGGTGGTTCTTCACTTGAATAACATAGTAGTAGCACAATTTTGGAGAGCTTTTCTCACTTCTATCTAATTCTCACATGATATTGAAAGTTAAACCAGGTAAATCCATCTGCCTAGAAATATTTCGCGCCAAATGCATTGAGAGTGATGATGCAGATGAAGCAAAGTGCAAGGGTTTGGGAAAATACAGGACATATGCTGGTGGGACTGCAAGCTGGTCAAGGAACTTGTACGTTTTACTTTCTTTACTCAAGATACTGAACGGATTGCTTGCTTTTGAAACCAGAAAATTCTTAATTGTGTATTTTCTAGGCGACTAATTCAAGGCATAATAATGGAAACCAAGTGCCTGCTAGTCTTAACCTTTATATTCACGCATGCTGCTGCATTTTATAACATATCTGTACTCAGGTATAGGTGTTGTAACACGTCTACATGCTTAGACTTGAATAGAGCTGCTGGTCAGTCTAATTGACATGTTTTGCGTTTTGGTGAAATGCTTCGTGTCAGTCCTTTTAGTGTTCTAAACTATATTTAAAAACATAATTATTTTTCTGTGAGTCGTAAGCTTTAGCACATAATCGTAAATCTGAACTTGTTTGCATCAATATTTTGATTCTAAGACCACAATACAAGTACAACCTCATACATGTCTTATTTCCTAGAGAAGTCTCCGAAATAAGAAATAACATTCTAGCATTCCAATTTTTTATCTTTTGTCATGGCCTACAAAATATTGCCTTAAATCGATGCAAGATATCTAAGCTGCACTTGCTAAGAGGTTCTGTGACAGCTTTTCATATCGGAAGTGATCCTTCATAGAGTCATCTGCAGACCAAATAAAGATACCGTGAAGTTTCCCCTGGCTCCTTAGTATGGTGCATGCATCAAAGAATCCATGTTCAGGAGACAAGCCGCCAATATTATTAGTTCCAAAACTCACAAGAATCTTGCCTCCTTTATAGTTACATCTCTGTGTTTCAAAGTACTGCAGGAATTGAGGAATGGTTGTGCCCTTCGCGTAGGCATAAAATTGGAAGTTGACATAGTCTATTAGATGACCATACTTTCTCCAGAGTGCTAAATAATGCACCTGCACTGAATCATCTGCATATGGTGCTATTGATGTGTAAGAGATGACATTGTTTTGTTTAAGGAAGTACAACAGTCTCCCGATGCACTCTGCAAATGTATCTGGATCTACATTGAAGTGTTCATAATCTATATCTATTGCATCCAGGTTATACTCTTTCGCTATCTTGGTGATTGAATATATTGCATTTCTCACCCAAGATGTAATTGATGTAGGAGCAAAGGTGGCATTTTTACCGTTCACTGTATCACCACCGAGAGTCATACCTACCTTAACGTTTTTATGCTTAGCCTTGACGGAAGAAATATGAGAAGGGGTGAGGTTATCAGTGTCCCAATAGATCAGGAAGTCACCATTAGTTGGTTGTGGTGAAATTGTGTTTGTGTAGTCTATAGCAAAGGAGAGGAGGAAGTGAAACTCAACGTTCGGATTAATTGGAACATCAGAAAATGTTACATTCTTGCCTAGAGCTCCAATATATTCTCTGAAAACCACAGGACAGCTTGGTGAAACTGTCGCGGTTATACGTGAAATGGTCAAGAGAGTTTGAAGGACAAGAAAGGAGATGCAGAATTTGAAACACTCCATGATTTTTTGCAGTTTGAAGGATTCCTTGTACTTCTTGTTAGTATTTAACTAAAACTGATACCAATATTTAAAGTAGACATTTGTTACATGCTGCTCCAAACCATCATTTAAGGCTTAATTTCTGGTTGTTCTTTTGTGAGTTAACATTTTTTTTTTGCAGACCTGGTTTGGTATTTGGTAAAGCATCAATATAGTTTTAAAAAAAATGATGTGTTAGCTGGAAATTTGACATTGTATTGCTTGGCATCTTCTACAGACGGCTTAAAGTTTAATAATCTAAAATGTAAATTATACATGGACCTTGAAGTAGTCTTAAGTTACTTGTAACAATCTATTTGGACTTCAGTTTTGTGTTTGAAGTAGTCTTGCTGCATTTGCTTTTGCATTTGACAGCAAAATAAAATTCGCAAGACATAAGTGCAGTGACACAAGTTATGTCTGAAGGCATACAAAAGAAATTAAGCTTAAGGAATAAGTTTAGTGACGCAAGTTATGTTCAAATGACACAAATCAAGCACAATATAAATGTATATTAACTTTAGTTTAGTTTGATTTTAATAATTGAAAAAATCAACTAAAATTGATTCAATTTTGATTTTAACAAAAAATTGACCCAATTAGCAACGCATAATCACCTGTACCTCTAATATTAATTCTTACATAATTAATTTCTGCATTATTCATTTCTTTGAACCAAATGATCTCTGATTTTTTCTCTACAAAAGCAATCCGTTCCTTTGAGGCAAAGAAAGGTTATCTTCAAGTGACAAATATACGAAAAATAAATATAAATATGAAGAAATTTCTAAAATATCTTTCAATACTTCTTATCAATCATTATTTTTAAGTGTTTTCTAATGTAGTATTAGTACAATTAATGACATAATTGTCTCTCAAAATCTTCTTCGTATCCTTTCTATCATATTGGTGAAAGGAATTTAAAAAAAATAATTAAAATTTACGCAATACATGTTAATTTCAATACAACAAACAAAACATTAGTGCGTTAATTAATTATCTCTAAAAGCAAATGAAACAAGAAGATTAATATCATTAAAAGGTGGTTATTATCTTCAAGTAATCTAAACATCCAAGAATATTTCCTTTTTGTCCATATGAAGCAAAGAATGAGTATCAAATATATACTAAACTTCTTTTATATATAAAAACAAATGCATGTTTGTTTCATTAATGTTCTTCTTAATTTCTTTATATCAAATTAATCTCAATAGATTAATTAAAGATGATATTAATAAGCAAATTTAGAATAACATTAATTATTTTTATCATAAGTTTTATCTTTCTTGCTTCAGGTTCGGAGGTTTCCATCAAGCCCACAAGTGATAGCCTTTCAACAAAAAAGAAGGTATGATAATATATTTAAGAGAATATTTCAGAAATAGCAAAAATACTAGACATAATAAGGCTCTATAGCTATAGTTTCTGTAATTGTGCTTCATAACTATAGTTATGTTTGCTATGAAGGTTACGATTTGTATATTTCGCTTGCCCGTTTGTATATTTCGATTGCGAATATACAAACAAGATAAGTATATACAAATTCTATATTTATACATTTAGGATTTTTTCAAAACTCCGTTTGTATGTTTCACTTGTGAATATACAAATAGGGTAAGTATATACAAATTCTGTATTTATACAGGATTTTTTCAGAACTCTGTTTGTGTATTTCGCTTGCCAATATACAAACATGGTAATTTATTATGAATTTTTCATAAATCGTATACAAATAGTTAGGTAAGGATATACCAATTCTGGATTTATACAATCAAGAACCAAATTATATAAATTCTAGATTTATACAATCAGGAACTGAATTATACAAATTCTGAATTTATACAATTAGAAAATTAGAAAATTGAATAGCATAATTATATTCAAATGAGTGACAATACCTTATGTCTTGACAATTATTTTTTTCAGGAAAAGTGCACTTATTTTGTGACAATACAAACAACATGTACAAAAGGTGCAGACACCACAAATCATGTAAGTCTAAGGTTTGGTGATGAAAATTCCAATGACATTTTAGTGAACCATTTGAATTCTAAACATGTTAGAAGAGTTGATCCATTGGAACCACAAGTTCTTGATGACATCCCAAGAAAACCATTTCAATCTTGCATGATTGATCAATTTCAAGTCACTGGTCAATGTGTTAAATCACCAATTTGTTATCTATATCTTAAATTGGCTGGAAGTGATGATTGGCGTCCTGGTTTTGCTCAAGTTCAAGTCTTACAAGGACCTCATTTTAGCTCAAATATGTTTTATTTTCGACGATATTTGCCTCGTCGTGTATGGCATGGATTGGACCTTTGTGAGACACAAGTGACACCTTTTGGGTTAAAACGTAAGAGAAATGTTTTTGGAGATGAAGGTCCGTAGATTTTTCTGTGTCCTGTGAAAAGATGAAGGTCCGTAGATTTTTCTGTGTCCTGTGAAAATTATGAAAATAAAATATGATAATTTTAAACTTGTAATGTACTTTGAGTAATTGAATTTGAATGTATAGAGATAGAATTTCCGTTTTAAAATCACATTTCGTGTAAAAGGAAGTAATTTGAATCACTGTTATTTGATTCAATTCTGTTCTAAAAAGTTGAGGTACTTCGAATTGTTTGTTGACATGGACAAAGCTAGGGAAAACCTCTGGAATTGTTTCAGTATTGAATATATAAGAGTTTTGAATCGAATCTCTTTAGAAAGAAAATCGTTTGTCTCATGGTAGTCTGTTTCAGTTCCCTTAATATATTGGGTTAGTCATACACTTCATACATTCTTTTAGTGATTCACATGACATCATCAAATGATACAAATCTTAGATAAAGAATTTACAACGCACTAAAATACCTTCATTGGTGATCCTTTACTATATCAACATCTAGGGATCCTTGAAACATGTGATATTTTACATTGGTAAAATATACATAAATTCTGATAAAGCATGTAAAGAAACCACAACAATTTGGAACCAAAAAAACAAGGTTTAAAATGAGAATTTAATGATTTGAAAAATGTAGAGAAACCAACAATAATTTGTGAGGAAAACCCAACTTTTTGCTCTTTTTTTTTTTTTTTAAAAATAAAATAAAAAGGAACTTCCAATTAGTAGATTACCTATTAATCCTCCGTTCTAATTCTCAACCTTCATATTCTGATATCTACGGATATGTCTTCGGTGAAGTTGTGTTATATCCTACCTAAATACTTCACCACAATATTTCTTAGGCCTACCTCTACTCATTATCCAACTCACTACAACCAACCTCTCATACCTCTTTATCAAAACATCTACACATCTCTGAATCATTTCACCTCACTTCCCACATCCTGTCCTTCACAATCCACCTTATACCAAATATCATCCGTCTTAATCTTACCTTTCTTGATATATCCACACATCCAGCTCATCATTCTTATCTCTATCACTCTTATTTTCTCAACATAAAAGTTTTAATAATTAACCAACACTTTATATTTCATATAATCAATCTAACCATCATCCTGTAAAACTTATAAATCAAAATATAGAATTAAATATTATCAAAATATTAATAAATATTACCCTCCTTAAATTTACAATCATTATTTTGACCTGGTCTAAAGGGTGCAGTTTTAATTTCCATAGCCCCATCACCACCACTCTTATCCTCGCCTTTATCTCTCATAATATTTATCTATATAAATATATTTTAAAATAATATTTTTTTATTTATGTATCGACTATAGAAAAGTAAATAAAAAAATCACTTTATCATTTACTTTTCTTGCTGACGTAAATAGAATTTTTGTACTTAGAAGTATTAATAACTATAGATCCCTAATTTGACCCACTCAAACAGAGACACATTAAATTGATGAACAATAACAGAAGTAGAAATGATGACATTACTGAAATATTTGTAGATCAACCACTCAATTTGGCTATCACGACGTCACGTTTTTTATTTTTTTTGGGACATGTCATAAATACTCTTCATTTATTATTTGTACTTCTTGTGTTTATTTGGTATAACACCATTTATTATATTTTAATTTTATTTTCTTAATTTTTAAAAACTAAATTATTTTTTTCGTAATTCAATTTTAATTATTCATTTTGAATTATTATAAGTATTTTATCATAGTATTGATATTAATTAATTTATAGTTTTAAACCTTGAGAAATAATTTGGAGAAAAAATAATGAATGCTGAGGATAAACCATTAAAAAAAACTGTATTTTCTTGATTTAGAATACTGAACAAGTAAAAATAATTAGAGGGAGTAATTTATCACTTAATTGCTAATTACTCTTATTATTAATAGTGGTCATTTTAAAAATATTTAATTTATTATATCTAAAAAGTGATTATTCTTTAAGAAATGTGTCAAGTCAATGCTAAACGTCAAACAAATAAAAATATTGGGAGAAAGTATTATTTAATCTTACTACGTCGCCAATAAGGGAGTTCCTTTAATAAAGTCACAAAACCTTTGTATCATTTTTATATATTTGGAGGAAAATATATCAAATGTACCTTGATATATTTAAATCAAATACATAATCCAATTAATTGGATGAGCTATTACCTCGCCCTCCTAATTATCATCATAACTATCAGGTGCCCACATATATATGAATTCAAAAGATATATTGAGTCCGAAGGGTAAGGGGTTTTCATCGGGGCTCGAGAGAAGAAATAAATAAGGCCCCACAAGTTTGAAATTCATTGATAGGAATTTACACGAAAAGGGACGAGAAATTCTCAATGAAAAAAGTACTCTCTGAAATTGAACATGAAAATAATTTTTCATCAGATATTTTCTTTCTGTTATTACTTGTTCTGATTCTACATATTGATCATTTTGAACTAAAAGTAAAATTTTGGATGGAATATTCACATTATATATAATACCTTTACTCTCAATAGTTATATACAAGTCTATAAAACAAAAAAAAGGTAGGATGTTTATGACATGTATGTGTCGGATGAATCAAATCCTCATTGAATTTTATTTTTTCGTTAGATGAGGCTCACACATGTTCTCCAGTATGCCCCGTAAATACTCCACTGATATGAGAAGTTTTTAGTGTTAAATGAGTACTTGATTCTCCAATCGATTGACGTGTAATAGAACCTACAACTTTCCACAATTCAATCAGGTCGCATGAGTGTAGAATTACGACCATATAACATAATCGACAAATTTAAAATATACTCTTACAAGTAATTGAAATGAGTCTGACTCTAATACCAGAAATGAACCTTAGTCCTTGTGCAACTCCAATAACTAGCTCTTAATTAGGATGAGAATTGTCTAAGATCACCAATTATCCATTCCATATCCAAATGGGACTCTTAACCTAAACCTAACTTAAAAAATTAATTACCAAATAATAATTGATGATATTACTACAAAGTGATTTGACTTTTCATATATTTTGTAAAAGTACAACTCTCTAGGTCAGATATTTATATCTCTTTCTTTACTTTTCTGTAGGCCCTAATTTTCAAAAAAGCTGTGTAGAAGTTATCAAGTTGTGAGAAAATTATAGTAATCAGCACCACTCTCTGGTCAAATTCATCATTATGCATTCTGGCTTAATTAATGAATGAATGAAGTTGTTATATCTCCAATTTTTCATCAGATGATGGAGATATTTACAAAAAAAGAGTTTTAAGTTTTAATTTATTTACTAATAAAAAAAGAGATTGATCACACAATTAATATATTTATAAAGTACTTCTTCTGTTCATTTTTTATTTATCAAGTATCAACTTGACACACTTCTTGAAAAATAATAGATAGAAGGATAATTTTATTATGTTATACTTTGAATATAATAAATTCATAATATGAGAAATGTATTTAAACTATGAGTTTGTTCGGTATTACTGTAGGGAGGCCAAACACACTTATTTTGAGGAAAAAATTACTTTTAAAAAAAGGCGTTTGACAAATCAATAAAAGTGTTTTTAAATGGAAGCAGAAACAATTTTTTTATTGTTGGGAAAAAGCTAAACATTTGTGTTTTTAAAAAAAAACAGAAGCAGAAGCACAAAATTAATTTTTTAAAGACCAAAATAACTCTACCATATATACATATTTATCAATATATCCCTTTTATTTATTTATTTATTTATTTATTTATTTTTGTGGTGGATTTAATTTGTGAAATAATTTTAAATTTATTTTGCTTGATATTTTTAATTATATTTAAATCACCATATTAATATTATACCAATATTTAATTTTTTAATTAGACTATGTGAAATATTAATTGAAAATTTGAATATGTATGTTTTAATTTAATAAAAATAAATATTTAATTAAAATATTTATGATAGATATTTTAAGTAGTTTATTGCTATAAATAATCTTATTATTTAAAGTGCATTGATACTTGTCCTTTTCCGTCATTTGACTCTCAAAAGTACTTTTAATTTTTTTTTATCCAAACACAGTTTGTTTATCAAAAATACTATTCAAATGAATTAATCAAACACAAATTGCTTTTTCAAAGCATTTTTCTAAAAAGTTAATTTTAAAAAGTGCTTCTAAAAATAAGCGATTTTTAGCAGAAATGTCAAACATGCTCGAACTATAGTTAATAATGAGGATGATTAGAAACTAACTGATTTTTATCTCTCAATTTTCTAAAACAAGTAAATAAAATGGACATCTACTTTTAATATAGGAAACAAATAAAAATAGACATCTCTTCATTTTCACTTAATTTGATTTGAAAAATCAAGAGATAATTTATCATTTTATATTTGTTTTACCCTTATTATCTAGTACTATATCATTTTCAATTAATATTTCAACATATTATAATTTAGGGGTGATATAGTAAAATTATCATTTTATTTGTTACTTCTTAAGGGATATTCCAAGTCAAATATGGACAAGTAAATATAAACGAAAGAAGTACGTTTTTATTAATTTACTCCACTCGTCTCAAAATACTTGTTATATTTTTAATTTACACATTCCTTAAATTATTAATTAGGAGGAATATTTGACTATTTTTATTCATATTTATGCCTGATATAATCACTCTTCAACTTCATTAAATATTTAACATTATTTTGTATCATAATTGAGGTGTTTGTAGTATTCAAAAATAATTACTTCTAAGGGTAAAATGAGAAATAAATATTTTTTTCTTATACTTTTAAAATAATAAATATTTTTAATAAGGACCGCAAGTATTTTAAAATGGAGAAAGTGTAAGTCAAGATGACATTAAATAATTTTATCCCATTTTGCCCTTAATATTAAATGTTGTTGAAAGTAATCGATATTAATACACAACCAAATACTTTAGTATAAAATTGAAGAATTCAAACAAATGCTCATTATTGGTTGATATTATGATTTTCAAATACTTGATCATCTACTTTTATTTGTCTGTCATAACTCATATTAATAATAGATATCCATAAGTATTTATCTAATTTGAAAAATTTAAAAATAATTTATTATTTACTTTTTAATTTAATTTACCAATATTATTAATTATATACAATTTTCAATAAATTTTTTAAAATATTAAATTTATTATATTTAAAGAGTGATATAGTAAACTGATCATTTAATTTATTACTCTATTTAAAAAAATATATCAAATCAATATTAATTAAGTAAAAATGAAAAAAAAAAGTACCAACAAAAGAAAAATTCAAACAAGTAATTGTTGATTAATATTATAATTTTCAATATCACTAAAAGTAACTTAATATTATCCTTAAATATAGTGCATATTTACTGAAGGGGATAAAGATAAATTAATTAATAAATATTTTTTATTTATAATTACTTAACGAGCGTGCAACAGAGATCATGATATTTCTTATATTTCAATTTATATAATTTACTTTATTTTAATTAGTGTGAAAAAACATCTTTCTATATTTAATACTAATAATTTCCATATCCTTAGTGAGATACTCTATTAGACTAATTTATTACCACACAAGTATTTATGACTTATTATAGACCATAAATTTTAAAAGAATTTCTATCTCTCTTGAGTTTCGTGCCAAATCAAATTACTCTCTCTATTTAACAATAGTTGTCAATCATTGATTTGACATATTCCTTAAATAATAAATAATAGGATAATATTACTATATTATCCTTTGACTTTATAAATTAATGTTTTGAGAAATATGTTAGATGATAAAGGTAATGCTAAATGACCAGAAAATTTGGCCAGAAATTTAAAAAGTGTATAATATTTTTTATTTTAAAATAAACTAATTTTTCTTCTATATTTTAATTAAAATGTATTAAAGTTAAAAAGGTAAAAAAAATTAAAAAAGTAAAACAACATAGGTAAAATATCATTCTGGTCAAATTCTAAATATACAAATTATATTATTACCATATAAAGATAACAGACTGTTTCTGAATATGCAGATTATACTATTATTTGTTAAGATAAAGAGACTGTTTCTGATTATGCAGATTATACTTTTATCTTATAAAGATAGAGAGACTATTTTCGAAATATGTTCGGAGGGAGTATAACTTACTCATTATTTATGCATATTGGTGGTGAATTAAAAATGTTACTTACACATGTTGTGCTAATGAATGCAAAGGGAGTATAGAAATTAATGAAAAGATATGTCGGAGAGAGAAGAGTTACGCGCTGAGATTAGCAAATAACAACACACATTATTTAGCCGCCTTGAATTTAATTGGCTGCAAAAAAAAAGGAGGCTGTATAATTGATTTTTTTGTGCAAAAGATCATGATAATACAATCTCATTTAATGATCTCATTTAATGCAATTAAACCTACTTATTAAGTCGAGGAACTAATTTTAGCCGACCATAGCAAAGGAAGATTTATATAAAATAATTTTTTTTAAAAGTAAATAAAAGTCTTTTTTTTAACGGTTTAAGTTTTAGATCATAAGATAATCACATATTTTAATATGATATCAGAACATATTGGACAGTTTGATTGAATTTCACTCACTCATTATATATAAAAAGACAAAGAAAGAGTCAGGTATGCATAAGAGGAGACGTGTTAAGAATATAACTAATTGTAAATAAAATATGTCTAAGGAATCGTTGTATGAGGTATAATAATTCGAGGAAAAAATGTAGGATTATTTTATTACGACTGGTATAAGTTATTAAGTAGTCCTTGGATTATTTATCCTACTATTTTTGTCATAGTGATGAAATATATTATCTCGTACATAATGAAATAACTTATCTTGAAATAATTTATCTCGAAATAATTAATCTTGAAATATCTTGTTTCCAACCAAGCGACTCCTAACAATTTAAACGTTTAAATGGGTCTGTCACTCATTTCAGCAAGGATTTTATTAGGGATTAATTAAAAAAATGTTTGACATTTGTTGCATGTATGTATTCTAATGTAAATTCCTCATTTGAATAATTAATATGAAATTTAAAACATTTAAAAAGAATTTTAAATTTCGTAGTTTTATATTATTTGTTAGATTCTCGTTCTTATTTGCGTAAAATGTTTAATCGAATATATAATACACATGAAGAATTAAGTATGTATCGATTATAATTTCTTTTTACAAAAGATCTTCATTTTCTATGGATAAGAAATCATCATTTTTCATATAAAAAATCTAGAATTTCTTTTTTCTATTTAATGCAAAATAATTCTCATTTCCTCTAATTATACAGGCTTTGTCCTATCATAGAAAGGACAATAAATAATTAATTAAATGTGATTATTCGTAGGTACTGTGGGTAGGTGTAAGTATTACTTTCTGATTACAAAAACTCAAAGCCTTATGTGATCAGCTCAAAGTAAGGACTTGTGGTCCAATTGAAATTATGATTTATTTCAATTTTAATACTTAAATAACTATAGAGTATTTCATATTAATTAGTTTCAAGTTCATGTTATGGATCAAATAGAAGAATTAAACCAAAATATTAGTTTGTTTGGTGATTAGAGAGTTCATTTAGCTACTCATTAATATTTCCTTTTCATCATTTATCTAATGAAAATAATTGACACGTACACTTAATATAGACTGACAAATCATATATTTTAAAGAGACTTACTTATATATATATTCTTTGACCGACCTAGAGTAAAATATATTTTTATATTAATGATACATAATGTAAAACTTTAATTTTTTAATAAAGTTTACTGCAGTCTCCATGACAAGTTGAGTTTTGACAGTATATATGAGTTGGAACTTGGATGATCTACTGTGAGTAAATATTAAGGGAGGAATGCAATGTAACTTTCTACTATAGGAAACTTTTGCCTTTGTCTCATATTACTCAATCTCCATGTACAGTTGCAATGAATTTTTTCTACAAACTAAATAGAATAGTAATAGTCAAATTTTATGTTTCAAAAATATTAATAAATAAAGTTAGTTTAGTAAAGTGAGTATATCTCTAATTCAGACTTTATCAACTATGTATCAAATCAATATCGATAAAATAATATGATACCGAAAAAGTACTAAAAAATGAGTTGACTCATGTCTGGCCTTCAAACCCTATTTAACCCTCAAACATATGTACCAAACAACCAATAATTTCTAAACCTAATCTAAAAGAACCTAATTTATGGTAATTAACTTTTTAGGAGAAATTATAGTGCTATTATGAAAACCTAGCTAAACCGTGTGGCTTGCCTTCACATTGACCAAAAGATTACGCAGTCCAAATGCCTTGATTTTAGAGTTCAACTTTTTCTCAATTATTTGACTTATGTTAACGGAACATATTCATTATAAAAGTTCTTTTTAGAGGTGCATTTTATTAGACTAACTTTATTAATAATGTTTTGAAATTCTAAATTTAATTATCGAGAGTGAAGCCTAAAATAATTTATCAAAAGTTAAAGAATCTCAGTCATTTCACGACAATCCCGAGATAATTTTGCATTGACACAAAAATAGGAAGGAGAGTAGTAGGCTCCACATTAAACACATACGTACAATCGATCTTATATATTTATTTTTTTTAAAAAAGGAAGATCTTTTTCCTTACTACCATAATTCCCCATGCTGTATTTTTTCCATAATTCACTGTCAGATGAGTAAATATAGGGACGATGATGACGAAATCAGCAACTAACCTAGTAAATGAGTCTTCCTCCTTTCATACTTCCTCCGTCTCCGACACAATTTTCTTTTTAGTCTGTCTCAAAAGATATTCACTTTACATTTAATAAAAAGAAAAAATGACAAATATACTCTCGAATAATCATAAATGGTATGCGGATATCCTCCGTCATACTTTTGGGACATTAGTGTCATGTCGTCCAAAAATTAAAGCATATATACCATTTATACTAACAGACATACACGTATCATAATCTTATCCATCGACCCGACATTTATTAAATATCGAATCGACGGATAAGATTGTGTCACGTGTCCCTTTTTAGTCTTCCGTTAGAGTTAAGGGCATATATGCTCTAGTTTTTGGACGGCAAGGGCACCAATGTCCCAAAAGTATGACGGAGAGTATCTGCATATTATTTATGATAGTTCGGAGATATATTTGTCCTTTTTCCCCTAATAAAATAATTCATAGTCACATAATATTTATGACATATATTTTAGACTATAAATTTTATTTTTAATTTCGTGTCAAGTCAAACAACATCACATAATTGAAACGGAGGGAGCAAGAATCATTGAATACATCAAAGTACTTTATATAGCTACATCAGCATGACAACCCCATTATTAGGACCACCATTAAATCTCTTGTCTTCTCTATTTATACATTACCCTTTATAGAAACAAAAAAAACATACATTACCTCAAAAACACACAAAACCAAAAAAAAAAAAAAACTTTTTTATTTTGAATCTTGAATATGCCTAGACCAAGATGGAGTCCAACACCACAACAACTTATGATTCTACAAGATTTGTATAGAAAAGGTTTGAGAAATCCAACATCTAGTCAAGTACAAAAGATAACAACTCATCTTTCTCTTTATGGAAAGATTCAATGCAAGAATGTATTTTACTGGTTTCAAAATCACAAAGCTAGGGACAGACAAAAACTCAGAAAAGAACTGATGATACTTCACAAAATCCACAAAACTACTAGTGATGATGATGTTCCTCATCAATTTCACACAACTCCCAACACCAACAATACCAATATTAATCTTGACTACAATTTCCCTCCTAGTACTTTTCATACACTTTACCCTCACTCACCATCCATATTGGTTCATCAGGTACATATTACTTCTATCTTTGTGAGTCGTTTGATATGTCAGACAAGTATAGATAATGCTGTAATAAAAGTTAAGTATTTTTTCTGTTTCATTTTACTTGTTCGTTTGAGCAAATAAAAAGAGTTTTATTACTTCATCCGTTTTACTTTATCTGATTCCTACACCAAAAATAGATGTTTTATTTTACTCGACCATTTTAGCAAATCAAGCTGTTTTTTTTTTCTCCCTCATACTACCTTTGTTTTTTTCTCCCTCGTACTACCTTTAGTGTTAAATAACTACATAAAATAACTGTAAGCAACATTATTAATAAAGTTAATTTGGTATAATCCATCTCTAATTAAGGTTAATCTTAAGGGGTGTGTCAGATCAACGGGGGTCAAGTAATATAAAACAGAGAGAATATTTTTTTCCACCTTATCTTTAGTACTCCATTTGTTTCAAAAAGAATGACCTACTTTCCTTTTTAGTCTGTTTAAAAAAAATGACCTCTTCCCTTTTTTGGTAACATTTCAATTTCAGTTTCCCATGTGACATGTTTAAGACCACAAGATTAAAGGATAATTGTATACATTTGACATAACTTTTAATTTAAGACCACAAGATTCAAAAATGTTCTTTATTTTTCTTTAACTCCGTGTCAAGTCAAACTAGATCACTTTTTTTTGAAACAGATGGAGTATTAAATAACTATATAAAAACCAACAAGGATTGTGTTGGAGTGGTAAGTACTCCTTTATCCTTAACCAGAGGTCTCGAGTTCGAGTCCTCCTGGATATGGAGTCATCTTTGGTAGGGAGCACTTTACCCCCTCCCCTCCAATGTGGGACTTCCCAGACGGACTAACTCAAGTAATATGAAACCGAGGGACTTCACTTTTATCAATTATCCCTGGATAAAATAATAAAAATGACAAAAATATCCCTAAGGTCCCTTTAATTGACTCTTTTTTTTATTCTTTTTAATTAGTTCAAAAAGATTATATCTTTTTATATTTAGTAATAATTTAATTCTTAAAATACCAATGTTATCCTTGATATATCTATGATACATATGTTAGACCACAATTTTTTTTTTTTCTTAAACTCCATATCTGGTCAAACACTGTCACATAAATTTAAATTGCTGGAGTGTAAAATATATTTCTCTATCTCAACTTATATGACACACTTTCTTTTTTAGTCCATCAATAAAGAATGTCGCTTTTTTTTTCATAATTGAAAATAATTAAACTTTAAAATTTCTTTTTTATCATTAATAAAATGATTTATAGCTTCACAGATGCTCAAAGAGTATTGAAGAACCATTACTGTTTTTATTTTTAAGTTTATCATAGAGCTCATATTTGAGCTAATGTATTATTGGTGCACCCAAAGTCTTCAAATTTTGAGTTCACTTCTCGGCTGATAACTTTCTATTATCTCCTTTTGTAGGGTGAAGGAAAAGACACATCATCTTCATCAACTCAAATGATGAACAACATGGGGAATGTTGATTTTCCAAAGCATTGTGTCATAGAAAATGGCATGATAAGAACAAATGTTCAAGGTTGGATCTTGATGATGACAGATCATATGTGCCCTAATTCTATTCCATCTTGCAGCAATAACAAGCCTCTTGAAACCCTAGAACTTTTCCCTATCAAAGCCACTGGCAGTAAGGAGTAGGGCTAGCTACCCCCAACAATATAATAATCTTGCTGAAATATTGCATGTGTAATACTAGCTAGCTAGTAATAAGTTTTTAGCATTAATTAATTAGAATAACTGCTGATATGTGTGTTACGTTGGCTAAAATGTTTAGTATTTTATAGTGTTGCTCGGATTCTAATTAATAATGTTATCGAATGTGTGTTGGATTCTCCAAAAGTAGCTCAGTTTTGGATGATCCAACACAAATATATCAATATCTTTAGAGAATTCGAGCAACGTAGGACGTAGGTTATTTATATATGATATCCATGTTATATATGCATGATGTCCATGCATTGATTTGTAAAATATTTGACTATTCTAGAAATCCAAGTCTACAATTCCTCGAGGACAGTGTGCTTTTAACGTTTACCTTTGGAGTTATTTTGTTATAGAGAAATAACATTAAATTACTCTTTAACTTGACAAGTTAAATTTACTTTAGTACTTTAGCTACATAGATGTTTATTTACCCTCCTAATCTCATTTGAAGTGAATTAAATATCAGTCTCACAATAAAGAGTGCATTACACACATGTCAAGTCATTGCTACGTCAACACCACATTAGCGCCAAATCTCATTTTTCTCTATTGGGAGTAATTTTCTTTAAAAAAATGAATTTTGAAAGTATAAAATAATTTTTTTTCTGTGGTGCTAAAGTTTTTTGTGACTTTTACGCGTGGGTTTAATAAAAATTTGATGAATAATGTACTTATGTGTGGAGATTGAGAAGAAAAAGAAGATGTGTATATGAGGAAGAAGAAAGGAATGAATATGTTGGCTGAAAAAAAAAATTAAAGAAAAGGGATGGGTGGGTGAGTTTGAGGAAGAACAATGGAACATATATTTAATGAAAAGAAAAGAAAAGGACCCCATTTGTTTTATTTATTACTAACATTTTTACGCGTCTAAGAAAAAATACTTGCCACGTCAGCTATATGGTGATTGGTGGGTTGTATTTAATTCACTTCAAATAAGGGGGTAAATCAGCGGCCGTATTGTTAACGTGCTAAAATAAATTTGACTGCTAAATTTAAGGGTGATTTGATATATTTTCTCTTTGTTATAACATGTAATACAAAGATATAATGTATGCGAAGATATTACCTTTAAATCTAACTCAACTTTAAAATTAAAGTTGACTCACGGAGGAGGAGACTTATGATTATATATACACTACACCAAAAATAATCTTTAGCGACAATTAATTAACGGCAACAACTTAACTACCGCTAAATTTATTTTTCAAAAGCAATTTTTCATAAGCAATTAACACTTTTTTGTAAATATCCTTAACGCATATTACGACATCGAATCTAGTGATCCAACTAACTAATGCTCTTTAGCATCCTTTACTAATATACATATTTATTGTCATTAAAAGCTATTTTTGTTACTGTGATATATAGAGACTACAATGTACATGATTTCAAACATTGATTTTAAATCTATCATGTGTCCAAACGCCTTAATAATGTGCTAAAATTGTTGCAATTAAGGCAAAACACTGCACGCATGTGTGCTTGTCAGATAGTAATTAATAGTGATTTGTGAAGTCATTGTTGAACAACCCAACTGTCTCTTTCAACGTCCCATGATTGGAGGGATCTTCCAATTTTTTTTAAGTAATTAGGTTATAAAACAATTAATTTAAATAATATAAGTGGAGTGTAAAGAAAAAGGAGTTGAAGTTTTGAAAATGAAAATGAAAAATTTAATCTGATATTTCATCTATATATATCGCTAATTTATTCGTTGTTGAAGTGCGTGCATCGTCTCACCTAAGGGTGGCAACGGAACCGGTAACGGAACTACCGGACCGGGACGTTCCGGAACCGGAACGGAACCGGGCACCACGGGCCGGAACCGAACCGGAACCGGGACGGACCGGAACCGGTAATTCCGGAAAAAAATACCCGAACCCGTCCCGGACCGGTAACGGACCGGTAACGGACCGGACCGGACCGGACCGGAAACCGGGTCCAACCGTTATAAATTATATTTTTTTATTAAAATTAAAAAATTAGGAATATTACACTTAAAAATTTATACTTTTAAAGTTTTAAATACAAACTTTCAAACTTTTAAAAGTATAAAAGTTTAAATTTCACAATTTAAAACTTTGAAAATTTAAATTCAAACTTTAAAACTATAAAAGTTTAAATTTCACCCTTTAAAAGTTTGAAAATTTAAATTCAAATTTCAAACTTTAAAACTATAAAAAGTTTAAATTTCACAATTCACACTTTAAAAGTTAGAAATTTTAAATTTGAATTATAAACTTTAAAACTATAAAATTATAAAAATTTAAATTTCACACTTTAAAGTTTAAATTTTAAAAGTTTGAAAATTTAAATTCAAACTTTAAAACTATAAAAGTTTAAATTTCACACTTTAAAAATTTGAAAATTTAAAACTTTAAAACTATAAAAGTTTAAATTTCACACATTAAAAGTTAAATTTAAACTTTTGAAGACAATAATAAAAAAAAATTAAGGCGAATAGCCTACTTTTATTAATATTAATTAAATAGTACAAGTTGAGTTACAAAATATTAGTAGAGTATTAAAAAATCTAATCTACACAGCCACCTTCTAGGAAGGGTTCTGTTTGAATTAGACCTCGAATTATTATACTCATACTAATAGACATTTAAATTTAATAGTTCATGCTACCAAGGAAATCTTTTTTTAAATCATTTAACATTTCTCTAGTAACATGCTCTGGAATTGGTTGATTAGCTAGTTCTTCCATTGCATCAATGCCGTCATCACTAAAATCTAGCATTATTTCATCAACGTCATTTTCAAATTTGGTCGGTAGAGGTGGACGACCATAACTCCTTCTCTCGCCATTAATCCAATCTCTAAATAGTACGGATATCTCCAAGCTATCTGCTGCTAATGAATATCTATGCTCTCCAATTTGAAATCTTGCTGCACTAAAAGCGCCTTCCGAAGCTACTGAAGATGCTTGAATAGCTAACACATCTCGAGCAACCGGTTGTAGTTTTGGAAATCCTTTGCCGCGATTGCTCCACCATTCTAGAAGATCAATAGTAGTAGGTTCTGTATTTTGATTAATATATGCATCAAAATCATTTCTATCATTATGAGAAAGTTCAATAATACAATCTATCATATCATCAATTTCATCTTCATTATTATATCTACTCCTAGAACTTTGAGGCTCTTCGTTATGTACTACATTCCTTATATTAGAATTATTATACAAGTCGTACAATTTTCTAGCTTCAATTTTTATACTATCTTTAACATCTTGACAACTAGGTGTTTCATCATCTTCACTATCAATACCCAAATTAAAATATATTTTATCAACCATTCGTGCTGCACCTTCATCTTTGTAATGTGGGTTTAACAAACAAGCAGTTAAATAAATTTGAGGAATAGGAATAAAATATTTTTTAAATTTTTCAATCATTTTCTTAACAGATTGTTCAAATCTTGGTTTATTTTTAAATTTATAAAATTTATTAGAAATAGCACAAATATTAGGTAAAACAGAGCAAATAGTTGGATAATAAAGTGCAGATATTTTTTTGTAGTTAAATAAAAAACTTTTAAGAATTCTATAAGTTCTTTTATGTCATTCCAATCATTATCATCAAGTCTATATGTCATATTTGAATTATGAGCATTCCAAACCATTTGTAAAGGTTTCCTATATTCATAAGCAACTTCAAGCATTTCAAATAAAGAATTCCATCTTGTACACACTGATTTTGGAATTTTTCTAGGTGGAAGATTAAATTCACGACAACGATTTTCAAAATCTCTACGTCTAGACTTAACTTGACATTTAAAAATAAAATGACATGCAGTTTCAACTTTTGTGCAACCATCGTCATATATTGCTATAACATCTCTAACAATCAAATTATATATGTGTGCAGCACACCTAATATGAAAACCATCAATATAAATAGGGCAAAGAGACGGTTTTAGTATTTCAACAGCATTACTATTATTAGAAGCATTATCTAATGTGACACTACTTATTTTATCACAAATTCCATAGTTTTGCAAAACATCTATAATTGTTTGAGCTATATAACTACCGGTTTTATGCATTTCACAACATTTATAACCTAAAATTCTTTTTTGCAAAGTCCAATTTTCATCAATCCAATGCGCAGTAATTGTGAAATAATCATTACCATTTACACTATGGCCCATATCAGAAGTAATAGCTATTTTACAATTGTTATAATAAAATAAACAACGAAGATATTGAAAATGTTGAGCTTGATAATCAAAGATAGCCTTTTTAATTGTATTTCTAGTAAAACCTTTAAAATGTGGATTATACACAATTTGAATATAATGAATAAAACCGGGATTTTCAGCAAAACTAAATGGCAAACCCATAACAACAATCATTTTAGCTAATTCTTCAAGATCTTTTTCTCTACTATATGACCGTTGTATACTAGAACCAGAAACATTAGAAGGATTTAATTGTGTTTGGACCATATTAGAGCCATCTACTCCTACATTTTCAGGAAGGGTGGTACCATTTTTTTTAGCTTCGGCTACAGCTTTAGCATGCAAAAATTCATTTTTACAACATGACATTAAATGATTACTCAAATGTCCCGTCCCACCCTGTTTTCCTACAGTTTTATGATTCATTCTATGTTTACATTTATTACAAATAGCTTGTGTTTTATCTTCATTCTGAGTCATAAATTGCCACACAACTGATTTTTTAGCGCGTTCTACCTTAGTCCTAGGATGCACGGGGGGAATGGGAGCAGGACAACGAAAGGGAGCGGGAGCAGGACAACGAAAGGGAGCGGGAGCCGGGGAAGAGGGATTGGGAGGGGGACTAGTAGCCGACGGTGGCTCAGTTTCATCATCATCATATTCATCAACATTATTATCAAAACTATCAACATAATCATTAACATCATGTTCATCATCTTCAGGTAATTCCTCTTCAAAATTACCAAATC